TATTTGCTTTGGAGTCTTTAGTTCAGGCAGTTATAGCTTACAAGCCAAAGTCACATCTTTCATAATGCCCCATTCTACAATTTTTTCCCTTCACACTTGAATTCCTGAAGCCTAATACTGTCCCTTTCCAATGAAAAACAAAATTGGCACCACATTGAGGTTTATCATATCCCCAGCACATTCTTCCTTAAAAGTAAGTTTCTCTCTAATTTCATTAGAGTAAATGTTTTAAAATACAAGAAGTATTTATTTTATTTTGATTATGTTTTCTCTTAATTATTCAGATCCCTATTAGGGCTACTTTGAATCTGTGATGATTCAGAAAACAATGTTGAAATAGCTGCGTATAACATATGTTCACAATGTCTGTTTCTTCTCAGAAAAGCAAAATACACATATGCACACACCCCTTTACATTTTTCCTTTCCCAGGGTTTCAAATAAACGCCAGCTCAGCTGCAGAAACAAGAATGCATTTCCTATTTCAGACTGTACAGCAATCCTCTAGGGATATGCATGTGAAAATTTATGTTTTAATTATGCAGTTAAATGAAATTATTTCATTTTTAATAGCTCCAATTTGCTGTTGAAGTAAACACTTGGGTAACCTCTGACCCTTTGAAAATGTTGCAGCACAATTTATATACAGTAGGACCTGCTATGTTTATATTGCATTATTAGGTTACTGATCCTGTATCACTGCGGTGTAGATTATTCCTTAGAATATATTCAGGACTTAAGATAACAATCACTGGTGGATATGGGACTGAAATCCACATCTTTCCAATCTTTGATCAACAGTTATACCCAAAGATCCTTACACTTGCAAGCAAAACTTAAGGCTTATTGTAACCAAAAAAAAAAAAAGACTAATAAAAGTAATTTTGCATTATTTATTTTGATTTATTTTACTAATTTGCAGAATTTATCTAGGTCAGCTGCAATTTATTTCCCATAACACTGAAGCATTACTTGATACTCACAATTGTACTTGGACAATTCTATTAGCTGTTGTCAGTTATTTTCAAGCCAATTTCCACAATCATGAGGATTGGGAAGCTTAAGTTTTCAGAAGGCTGAATTCTGAGCATATAGTAACGTGCCCAGTATTAAATCAAATATTGTATAACAATAATAACAGCAACAATAGCAATAACAATGTCCCTTCAACTTTAGAGATCAGCATCTTCTTTACTATTAACAGCAAGGTGAAAATGGGAGATCCAAAGCATGTTTAATCATCTAAAGCCCATATCAGAAAATTTATGGTAACAGTAGCAAGTTGATAATGTTCTATCATTTAACATGTGTCTATAAATAAGGTCCTAGCATATTGTGCAAGAACACCCTCAAACAGCTATCAGAACAAATGGCCCAGTTAAAGAAGTACAATGATAGACTGAAAATTTTCATTTCGGCATTCAGCTGATTTATGCCTGTAGTGGTTCTTATACACTAAGTGGCTCTTTGTACAACACATGAAAAGCCTTACATATACTGTCTTGCTCTTGGTTAGTTAACAGGATATTTCTGTTTTCTGTTTAAATTACTAACAAATTATTCAAAATTAAACGCATTGAAATTTATTTCAAAAGTGATGCTGAAAGTCTATATTGTTCTAAAAGGCTATAAAATGATGGAATTTTACATGTATTAATTATATGCTACTTTGGGGCAAATTAATCACATTATACTTGTATTTTACTGTGAATTATTTTGAGAATGTTTGAGATTGAAAAGGAAGATAAAATTGTACAACTTTAAGTTTTTTAAATGATAGAAGGTAGATTTGTTACTGTATTATTTAAATCCTGAGAAACTTACAGTGTAATGAATGTATGCTCCTTAGAATATGATTTAAAAACATTCTACTTAAATCTTTATTTCTTACTAATGAAAACTTAGCAAAAATCATAGAACTGAAGAATACCATTTAAATATTTATTACTTCAGCTTTTGATAGGGAGTTGTATGAAGGAAGGATATATAACAATATTTAAGGTTTAAATAAAATATGCATTACTTTATAACTCTTTTTTGTATTACACAAAACTAACAAAAACATTTTGATTTTAGTGGATGTCTCAAGTTTCAAAATGATCATAATTTTAGAATCAGAGTACATTAGTTAAAATCATTATTCCAAATCTTTCATATGTGTGAAAGTAGGACTATTGTTCAGATTGCCTCAAAGCAGACTTTTCTGTATGCTGCAGACTATGACAAATTGCATGAACCGTTTGCTTTGTGTAAATGTAAACTATTGTTCACTGATAGCATCAAACTTAGTTTGCTAAGAATTTCCAATTAACAAGAAGCTGTAATTTCAGAGGTTGAAGATCAGCAGTTTATCTGTGATCAGACTAGTCACTCTAATCCTTTGTGTTTCATTTTTTTCCAGGCTTTCAGTTTTGATTAATACACACACACACACACACAAACATGCTCACATTCTCCTTCTTATGCAAGGCTTAACAGTATCAAACTCAAGTTCTGTTTTTGCTTCACCAAAATTTAAAGCTTTAGTTTAATAAAAGAAATAGGAAGAAATGAAGTGGGGAAGCTGGCATTTTAGTGCATGACTTACAAAGAAAAAAAGAGTAATATATTAATACAATCGAGGACCATGCTCACAATTTTCATTTCAGTTTAAGATATCTAGTTTTCTATGTTAAAACAGAACATTTCAAAATTAGATTCCTTAAGTTGTGATGAGAATTGTGATGAAAACATTAGTGCCATCTTCATGAGTGAAAGGCGGTCCTTTTGGGAAATTAAGCAGTCAGATCTGAACTGATTTTTCAAGTGTCAGATTTTTCAGCCTTGTACTTTCCAATCTTGATAAAAGATTTCCAGGAAGCCCGGCTTAGACAGCATCCTATTTTACCCTACTGAACGAAGCTAGGCTGTTACCGAAGTCAGGGCTAACCCTCTCACTCGCTTTGATGAGGTCAGCATTTAATCCTAGAATGAATATCCAGTGTCATATTTATAAATATTCAGAGTTAATAGCAGGTCACACAGAAGCTTCAATTTACATGAACGCATTTTATAGGCAGTAGCAAAACAGCTGAGACAGACAAGAAGCCCTGTAAAAGAGTCTTTAACTATCTGTCCTTAATTGCAGGTCATTTATCTCAATTTATTCAAAAATCATCCTAAGTCAGTTGCACTATCAAATACACCAACTGAAGGGACCTGTAGCTAAAACATCTTTTAAATTACTTATAATGTTTTATTTATGAGAACGCTAGTTATCCAGCTGCAAAGATAGTGGTTTGAGCCACAGCTCAGGAAGAGTTTGGTATTGAAAATGTCCACGTTTTGACAATACAAAGCAGCAAATAGAAGTATTCTGCCTGCTTTGCAAGCCCCAGGTTATCTATCCATGTGGTCTTCAAAACCTCCTAGAATATATCAACTGCCATACATATACCCTACTGGCAAGATACCAAGGCTGATTCAGGTAGAACTAGTTTGCTAACAGGTATAGAGAAACATGAAAAAATGCTGTTACCAGTGGAAAGAAGGATAAAGAAATGAAAACAGAAGAGATGCGCCTTGGTAGTTCGGTTATAATAAATGGTAATCTATAATCCGGTTTCGCTTTCTGCATTTACCTATGTAAGGAACTATGATGTAAGATCATAATTATAGCATTATTACTAAGGACAAGCGGGGCAGAAAATTTATGAATAGTAAAATAAACGCATTGCAACGGTTTCATCAGAAAAGTCAGCTATCACAAAAATCTCATTAATAAAATGTCAATAGCTTGTGAGTTCTAAGCATTTCTTTAAAACAGAAGACAAAAAACCACTCTTCCTATACTGTATATTTTCATACCTCAGTTTAGTGTTAATGGGCTTTATAAGAGACAGCCAGAAGTCCATATGCACCTGTGGGGTTTTCTGTGTGGGTATGTATGTGTGTACTCAGCTTTACTAAGGATATTTTATTTTGGCAATTAAATATTGTGTAAATTGCACCAAAAGAATCACACTTTTTCTGCTGCACTTCTGGGCAACTTTGCTGGCGTGATAAGCAGGTCAGATTTTGGCTCTGACTAAAATAAAGCACATTTAATTCCAACTCCTCCCCGCAAACCCACCCCCCAAAGTGGTAAACTACATTCTAGCAGATAACCTTTAAGATAATTAGCTGACAATGCTGTAGCTAGCATAAAATTTTCCTTCAGGCGACCCCTAATTTAAGTGTTACTGGCACAAAGTGAAGACAGATTGTGCTTTATCACTGCAATGTTTACATAGCAGAAGCCCACAGAGCAGGCAACGCGAGATTCAATGATGCACTAAATTAGGAACAATCATATACGAGTGCTACTATGCTGTCTTTAATATTAAAAAAACCTTCAGTCCAAAAATAAGTTTTCATGTATTCCAACTTCATTCTGCAATAAAAAGTGTCCCCACCTTGTCAGGAACTATGTAGTCTGGGCAAGTGTCTTCAGGCACAGAAAAATAACTGGTACCTGCTATTCAGACAGAGCAGGCAATAAAAAGGAAACTAAACAAGTGTGCATAATTAAACAATGTTCTTGAAGTTAGTTGGGTATTTTGTAAGCTGCCCTATAAATTTGACTGAAAGGCTGCAGAGAATCCCTCACCATGAAGAAAGAAGCATTGATTTTCAATTACCATTTACTAACAAATATCTTAGTAAGATCAAACTCAGTATGACTTGAGTGGAGTGAACTAACTGGAGGATAAATATCTAATCTACATTTATTTAAGAGATTGGAAATGCGATGATTACTGAAATAATGTTTTCACTGAAAGTGAAGATGACATAAATTTTGACATTAACAACGCTGTCTCCCAACATTAGAGTCCTGGATAAATATACTACTTTCCAGTGTATTCTATATATATGTTACTGTACCTTAAACGGGTTAATCTAAATCCTCCAATGAATATTTGACACTGATTTTCATTTGAATCCACGTTCTTGTTCTGCCTAAAACATGAAGAAAAGATTTACCTTTCCTACACGCTGATGTTCTTCAAAAGCTGTAATCAGTTCTTGCGCCCACTTTATTTTTTCAAGGCTCGGGGAGAATTGTTCCTGGACAATAGCAACCTGATTAGGGTGAATCACCTGCTTACCTACAAACAAAATTAATTACCACAAAGTCAAGCATTAACAAGCAGATGTTCAGCATACTCATGTTTAACAGTTTACCATTATTATTATTAATATTATTATTATTACTAGAACTATCATCATCATCATCATCATCATCATCTTAAAATTAGCTCCATTTTGAAACTTAAACTGTTCCACAAATTCTTATTCAAACCATCATTTAAATTAATTCTGAAATTAATTTCAACACCAAAACATAAAGCACAGGATAAGCACTTCTAATTCTAAATAAGTACATTGTAAATATTCCTTATGTACGGGTAGTCCCCAGTTTAAGAACGAGTTCCGTTCCCAAAGTCTGTCCTTAAGTCGAATTTGTATGTACAGTATCATTGTATAATACTGTATAAGTAGTATTGTGTAATTAACTAGAACCATTGTGTATTTAACTTGAATTTTGCTACAATAGGTTCTGTTCTTAACTGTGGGTTGTCCAGGTGTTCTTAAACCGGGGGACTACCTGTAGTCAATATCAATATAGGCTTATTGTTATTTATTTTATTTAAAGTTTGTTCCGTATCAAAATGAAGACTGACTTTCACAAATATTAGACAGGATCCATGCAAAATGATTTCTTTCTTAATGAAATGATACAACATGGCTTGTGTTTTTTCTAATGTGGCCACCATTTGCCCTTGCTTGCCCAGCCAAGAGAAGCTACATAAAATTTAATAGAAAAAAGAATTAACATTTTGCATTTTTTTCTTCAGTGATGAGAGAATGTTTGCTGATTACAATGTAGTGTGTTGAGTTTCATTTTTTAAAAATTATATTCAGTATACAGTATTTGGAAATACTGAAAAATGACTGGAATATTTTTGCTTGAAGAAAGAAAACAAAAATAAATTAAACTATTTGAAAATACCAAGTACTTTTAAGAAGTAATATTTTTCTATATAAGTGATTCAACTTAAAAGAAATTATTCTTCAGGAAGAAATACATACTTCTTTCAACATTTTAGATTTTCAATATTATATAATCATAATTTTATGCATAGAGCATTGTTATTTATTTTAGAAATTATAAGCAGAAAGAAAAGTATATTAATGATATGCTTGTACATAAAAAAAAGAGGATGTCCTCTTTTTTATATATAAGTAAAAAAGAAATAAATTCCTAAATCTGGAGATGCTCTTTTTCCAAAAATAAATACTTAAATATTATAAAGATCCTAATTTTAATTGGGATACTTTAGAATTAATTTCTACATTTTCCTGATATTTCTTTGAGAGCTGAAATGGAAACCACTACCATGGATTTGTTGCAGTGAAAAATAGACAGTGACAGGATTAAAGTCCTGTTTTTAGATGGAAAGAATATTGCAGAAATTTCTTAAAGAAGATTTGTGCTATAAATAAGCATATTGTATGAAAATCACTTATTATTTAGGAAATACTCTTTTTCAAATTTTCTAAAAAATGGAATAATAACAATAATTTTAAAATGTTTGTCTGCTGTCTTTGCAGAGTTAAATGGCTTAGTTGCCAGTATGTACAACAATGTAAATAAAAAACAAATAAAAATAGGAAGGTTTTATTATTATTATTTATAAGTGAAAACATGTAATCCTAATTTAATTTATTGGAATAAACTCTTATATTTCTTTAAGAATTTATTAACATAGAAATCTGCTTTATGCTTCTTAGATACCTTTTAGAAACCACAGCATGCTTCATTTTATCAGATTTTAATTACATTATCACTTATAATTAAAGTATTTGTAATGTGAGATTCAGCTGCTGCTATAACTTTCATGTAGAGTGAATTATTTTCAAGTTGTGCAGAGGCTACTTTGTAAAACAAACTATTGCACTGAAAACATTTGTGTCCTGCTCAAAGTCTGATTATTCCAAATTAAGATATTTGAAGTTATGTCACAAGAATGAATAACATACTTATATACTGGATTTGCATTCTATTATACTTGTAAGCTTCAGAATGATTTTGCACAAATATTTCATTATGAAAGCCCCAATAAAATCATATATTTCAAAAGAAGCATTGTGTTTCAAACCGGGGATCCCTAAATTATTGTTAAATTGTTTTTTAAAGTGAGACATATTTTGTTTTGATGAAAATGTGGATGGATTTTAAAAATTATATACATGACAAAAGGCCTTCAGTCTTTTAAGATCAGCAAAAATCTAAAAAGCCTGTTAACTCACAGCTGTAATTGCATGTTGTTGTTCTCTGTTCGCCCAAACACCTCTACAGTGGACTTAAGTGTCATGGAGAAACAAGGGAAATATTCTCAACAAACAAATTTCAGAATGATTGCAGAACCGCAAGGTATAAAAATTTATGACCATGAAGTATTTTTTCTAGGACCACTTGATATGATCTTGCTTTCAACAATTTCATTTCATCTTGTATGTGAAGCTATAAAGGGATCGTTTTGGTAGTGTGTAAAATACTGTTAAAAGAGAGGATTTTGGTGCTTCCTGTTGATATCTACCTTCTCAATATGTTGCACCAGGGTAGCTATAATGACTAAGTCAGCTGTTAAAAGTATCATTCCCAGAGCATATCTTTTTTCTGCACTTTAGCATTATTACAACTGACTATTTCAGGGACATGGGACTGAAGCTTAGCAGATCCAATAGAATTCATTGAAGAAGTCAGTCATGACTAACGTAGACTTTGTTGATCTTAAAAGGGTTCCTGTTAGTATGACTAAGTCTGAATTCAACCCAGGTTCCTAACATAAATCCCTGGGATATAAATGATTAACAGTCATCAGGCATAGCCTTAAAATACTACAATGAATTTCAGAGTGTTGATTAAATGTATGGAAGCTAAATGCACTGAGGTATTATATCTATGCTCATTGTTATGACAGTACAGGACAAAGAGGAACATTGGGACTTACACTGAGTAAATATGCATACTATTATACAGGAAAAGATTTAAGGAAAAAGAAGGAATTTAAGAACCATTGCTAGGAACTAGTCAATCATATTTTCTAAAACAAACATTTTTTGGTATCAAATAAATTAGGATGGGGCATACAGAAGTACAAAACAGAGAGGGATCATGAGTTAGTGATCTGTTGTACCTTGTACATTTGTATGACATATCTTTTATGTAATTCAATTTTTCATTTATTACTGAGTGAATGTGAAAAGAAAACTGGAAGACGTTACATTTCTTTCACCATAATAGTTCTGAAAAGTTCATTATGAATGTTTTTCACAAAAACATTTTAGCTGAAATTGAAGAAATGTATTAGAAATCATGGGATCTGAAATTACATTAAATTTCAACTAATTTTTTAAAAGTGTGTGCATGCACACACTTTTTACTACAATTGAAAAATGAACCCACAACAATTTAGGGCAAAAAAATTTGAGAGATATCTTCATGTATTATTTCAGTGATACAGATTGCTTTAAGGTTTCTTCCAATACTGCTAAAACAGCAAGGCTAATAACATCCGTGGTGTATGTGTCTGTGTTAAAAAAATCAAGATGGTGGCTGCACCCACATGATTGCAACACATATAAAAAAGGACAAGACTTTGATCACACAGTTGTAACTGTCATCTTGACTTTTTTGACACCCCCCCCAGACATGCCTGCAGATGGGTCCTTCCTATCAAAGCCATACTTAGCCAACGTTACTGATGGCCATGGTAAAAACCATCACCCTTTTCTGATAATATTGCTCCAAGTGTAGCTTTAAACATTAGAAGTCCTGTCAAGTAGATGCTAATATGTAAGTGTGTTGCTTTCTCCTTTTTTGTGGTGTCAATGTAAAGTTTAAAGAGGAAGTTACAAGAAATGTTTTAAATTGTATGTTAGATGAGGAAGTCTCACAGGGTGCAAACCATCACACATCTGCTATGATATTTTCCAGGAATCATCCTGGTGGGACAAACAGTTGTATCTGCTTCTTAGCACTTTCAAAAATATCCTGAAATGGCTTTATCACACAAAGCAACAAATGTAGAACGCTGGGACTTTTTGAGTTTAAAGAAAAATGGCCAGGTTGTGCAAGACATGCTTCACAGTGAATTTGGGTTCTGTCCATTTTACATGCGGATGCATAACTCAGAGAGACCTCAAACAGGAAATAGCATGGAGTTACGAAGTTCTAGACTCAGGCTCAGTTTGCCCCAGAAATCAACTATTGTCTGAGGATCTTTCTCTCTGAAGTATACCTATGGGAGGACAAAACATGATTATCTCAAGGTTTCATTACCTTAATGTGTAAAATGTTTAGAAGTCTGGAAAGGCAATTGTGACAGTGGCAGATCTACACCTGCATTTTAATACTCAGCCCAATGCTATACAGGACTGCTATTATATTTTAAGATGTAACCTTCATTTGAGGATCAAATAGAAAACTGATACTTGGAGGTACAAGCTAACAAATACACTTCTTGTGGTTACGTTTGTTTGTTTGTTTTTATATTTTTATCCCACCTTTTTTTCATATACAACTCAAGGCAGCAAATGTATCAATACTCCTTCCTATTTTCCCCACAACAACAACCCTGTGAGGTGAGTTGGGCTGAGAGAGAGTGACTGGCCCAAAGTCACCCAGCCAGTTTTTCATGCCTAAGGCATTATTTTAAATAATTATTATAAAATAATAATTAAAAATAAATGTATTAAATTTATTAATAAGTTAATAAAATTATTGATAGTAAAATAATGATATCATAATTATTTGATTTTGATTCCGCAACAGATGGCTGGTTGGTTAATCATTTCAAGGTTTTGAACTGACAGTGGTGAACCTGGGGTCCAATGGCTATAATGGGAATGTATTATAAGGGACTTTTAATATCATCTGTATCTGCCTGCCATTGCTACTAATTGTGGAGTCCTTGGGGTTCTCTGAGCTTGGTTGTTTTCTTGCAAACGTTTCGTTACCC